CTGCCCCCGGTGCAGGGAGCAGCAGCAGCAGCAGCAGCAGCAGCTGTGGGCCCCCCCGAGGCAGGAGGCCTCTGCTCGCCTTTAGCTGCTAGCCGCTGCGTTGCTGCTGCTGCTGCTCACTCGCCCGGGGCAGCTCCCAGCGGCACGGAGCAGCGCAGCGCGCTTCTCGAGGCCCTCGCCGCCTTCCAGCAGCAGCCGCAGCAGCAGCAGCAGCAGCAGCACTGCAGCAACTGGGAGGGCCTCAAAGGCTTCCCCGAAGTGTCTGCCCTCAGCTGGCACCCCAAAGAGCTGCTGCTGGCAGCAGCGCATGCAGATGGCCGCGTGGAGTTGTGGGAAGTGCAGGTGCAGCGTAGCTGGGCGTCCCCACCCCACCCAGCAGCAGCAGCAGCAGCAGCAGCAGCTGGAGAGGCCCGAGTGACCCTGCAGCACCTGCACTCCTTCCTCTTCGCCTGCCCGCTCTTGGGGCCCTCTCTGCTGGTCCAAAGCGCCCTGGGGCCCCTCCCAGGGGGGCCCCCCGAGGCAGCAGCAAGGGGGCCCCCCGAGGCAGCAGCAAGGGGGCCCCCCGAGGCAGCAGCAAGGGGGCCCCCGGGGGCCTCCCACGCTGTGCTGCACTCCCCCTGCTGCTTAGTGTGGGGCCCCGAGGGCGACAGCTTGGCCGTTGGCAGCAGAGAGGGGGCCCTTCTCTTGTGGTCTTTGGGGGCCCTCAGGCAGTACTACAGGGCTGCTGCAGCTGCCCACAGCAGCAGGGGCCCCCTAGGGGGCCCCCCGGGGGCCCCCCACCCGCAGGACCCTCTTCTGGGGCCCTTCAGTGGGCCCGTCTCCCACCTGCAGCAGCTGCAGAGCGACAAGGGGGAAGTGGGGGCCCGCAGGTTTCGGGGGGCCCCCCAGGCCCTGGGGGCCCCGGAGGCCCCCGAGGCCCCGGAGGCCCCAGAGGCCCTAGGAGAAATGGGGGCCCCCGGGGGACCCCTGCAGGGCCCCAAGGGGCACCGGATGAGAGATGGGTCTTCTCTGAAGACCCTTAGCACTGCCTCTACGCAGCCCTCGAGCAATTCGCCCCCGGACACCCCGCTGGGCAGAGACGCGCAGCAGCAGCAGCAGCAGCAGCAGATTGAGGGCAGCACAGGCTGCTCCGAAGGTAGCGCGGACGAGGGGGGGCCTCCAAGGTCTCCCAGCGCCTTCAAGGGGGCCCCCCCTGACCTGGGGGGCCCCGCTGCAGCTGCAGCAGACCCGCTGGGTCTGCTGCAGAGCTTTTTGCCCCTCTTTGGGGGCCCCAAGCTGCTCCTCTATGAGCCTGAGGGGGCCCCTGGCAGCTTCCCGCGGGGCTGCAGCGAAGCCTGGGGGGCCCCGGGGGCCCCTAGGGCCCCCGGCGCCCCCGGGGGCCCTGGCCCCGGGGCCCCGGGGGCCCCCGGGGCCGCAGGGGCCCCCGGGTCCCCCAAGGCCCTTGTTTGTGGGTCTTGGCAGCTGGGAGTTTCTTCTTTTGTTTTGGGGGCCCACGGGGGTCGAGTTCGTTGTTTGTCTTTTTGCATGCATGACCCCCGGGTGCTGCTGTCTTCTGGGGACACGGCAGCAGCAGCACGAAGCTCCGGAGCAGCAGCAAGCTGCAGCAGCAGCAGCAGCAGCAGCAGCTGCGGCAGCAGCAGGCTCAAGGCCTGGATCAGGAACGCCAGCGCTATCCACCCGACTCCGCTTCTGGATATTTACATGGAAGGAATTGTAAGTTTTTCCTCATCATTTGGGGCCCCTTGGGTACACGGGGGCCCCTGAAGGGGGGCCCCCAGGGGCCCCTAGGGGCCCCTTCCAGGCCCCTTGGGTCCCTCTAGTCAGGTACCAGGGGACCCTAGGGGCCCCCCAGTACCCTAAATCTACAAGCCTTTATATAAAGAGGCCTCTGTTTGCACTGGGGGGGCCCCTGGGGGCCCCCGAGATGCCCGAGGGGGCATTTCTCTATGAAGAGTGGGGCCCTAGGGGCCCCCCGGGCTGCAGGCTGGGGTCCCCTGGGGGCCCCTTTTGGAGGTAAGGGAAATGGGGTACAACGGGGCCCCCCGAACTGCTGGGGGGGGCTCCTGGGGGCCCCTATTTCAAGCTAGGGGCAGCACTTTTGTGTGAGTTTATGCGCAGACCACTTCTATGCTCTGGAGCAAATTTACTGGAGACCTGCTGCTTTCCCACAGCTGGCGGAGGCCCTGCGGGGGCCCCGAGGGGGCCCCCCTGGGGGCCCCCCAGGGGGGGCCCCAGGGGGGCCCCCAGGTGCCCCCACGGGGGGGCAGGTCTTTGGGGCATAAGGGCCGCGGGGGCGTCACTGTGTGGTGCTACTTAGGAGACGGTGGACAAGCCCTGCTGGAGT